CTCACTAGACTAGGAGGATCACAAGTTTAAGTCTGGCTTGGGGAATTTAGTGAGAACTTGTCTCAGAAAAAAAATAAAAATGGTCTAGGGATGTAGCTCGGTGTGAAGGTTGATTGGAGGCAGACTCTTAACTAGGTTGCTAAATTGCCCAGGCTGAGCTAGAATTGGGAATCCTCCTACCTCTGCCTCCTAGAGTGCTGGGATTACAGGCATGTACCACCACACTGGGCTCCATAAGGAATATTGTATTTATGGAGCCACTAAACTGGCATTCCAAGACTCCAGAGCTCTGAGCATGAAAATGCCTACCACCTTCTGGGTGGCCTCTATCTGTCTGGAGCTGTGCCCAGTGCTACATTTACTTGTTACAAATACCTGGAGAATTGGTGTCCTCTTCCTCAGTTTACAGAACCAGGTCACAGGAACTGAAAGATATTGCTGAATCTGGAACTGGTTTCTCTGGTTTTCTTGTCAGGTCATCATTTGAGACACATCTCCGCTAGCAAGAGGGATGCTGAAGGCAAAACAGAAGGGCTTGTTGCTCATAAAATTATTTTCCTATCACTCTCTTCTCATAGTGCTTGTGGCTTTTTGAAAGTATTTTTTCACCAGGCTTGGTGGCACATGCCTATAAGCCCAGCACTTGGGAGGCTGAGGCAGAAGGATAGCTGTGAATTTGAAGCCAGCCCGAACTACATAGTAAGACCCTGTCTCAAAAAAAAAAAAAAAAGTTTTACACTTCTGTCTCATTTCTCTAACTATAGGCAACAGTGTCTTCCTAGAGATGGCCCATGAACTAGGACTGAGTTGAATGTTGTCGTGAGCCTAGACTAAATTTTTGTTTGTTTTGGCAGTAGTGGGGATTGACCCCAAGGCCTTTGCACTGAGCTACATCCCCAGCCCTTTTTATTTTGAGACAGTCTCACCAAGTTACCCAGGCTGGGCTCCAAATTGGGATCCTCCTGCTTCAGCCACCCAAAGTGCTGGGATTACAGGTACAAGCCACAGTGCCTGGCTTAGCCTAGACTAATTTATCAGCTACACTGTAGCTTTGACCTAGTTAAATACTTCTTCTTTCTTCTTCTTCTTCTTCTTCTTCTTCTTCTTCTTCTTCTTCTTCTTCTTATTATTATTATTATTATTATTATTATTATTTTGCAGTACTGGGGATTGAACTCAGGACCTTGCACTTTCAAGGCAGCCACAGTGCCACTGAGCTAAATCCCCAGTCCAACTCTATTATCTTTTTTCCCCCTTGTAGTGAGGATGGGCTAGCGCCTCACACATGTAAAGTGTAAATTTTGTGTGTAGTCGTGTGACTGGCTTGTTAAAATGCCTTATGGCCTCAACAGCACTTATAGACAAAGGAAGGAGTAGCTGAGGAGGAAATATGTGTACATGCCTGTCTCTCAGTGCCACAACCCTTCTGGTCTTATAGGAGTACAAATACACAGGTCTGCCAATTTCCCACCAGTAAGAAATCTTTACAAGCCTGAGAATAAATTCAGCTGATCTCAGTGGACCCTGTTAACTCATTGCCAAGTTGATTCTGCATCTTCTGGAAAATTTTTCACTGAAGACTCTGGCCTTTAAAATCTTTAAGTTATTTTCCCAAATACACCATAAAGACTCTTCCATTTTGCTGCTTTTAAGGGGATAGCTTGAGGGCCAGAGATTTAGCTCAGTGGTTCAGCCACCTGCCTCACAAGCGCAAGGTCCTGAGTTCAATCCCCTGTACCAAAAAAAAAAAAGATTACATTAAGGGGATAGCTTGAAAAACAATGATAATTCAGCAGCCTGTGTTCTGCAGTGCTCAAGGATGGCATCCCATATACACTGAAAGGAAAAAATAGCTTACAAAAACAGAAAGTGAGCTTTTTAATGTCAACCATAAATGTAGCAAAAATAAAGGAAACTAAAGGCTTGTGAGAATTCTATGAAAAATATCACTTTAATAATAATAAAGCTAGCCAAAAGTTAAAACCCTGAAATACCTATTAAATATGATCTTGTCCTGAAACACAATGGGTAGTAAATATATTACTAAACACCAAAAGGAATGGTTATTTTTATAGAGTAGACATTTAAAGAAAATTATGAAATTAAGTCATCATTATGATAGTAGAAACATCTGTGATTAATTGAATAAAGATTTTTTATGAAGGATTTCAAAATGATTTTTTATTTTATTTTGTAGTACTAAGAATTTGGGGGTGGGGGGCAGTTCTGAGGATTGAATCCAGAGCCTTTGTACCAAGCGGTGTCCCCAGCATTTTATTTTTTATTTTGAGACAAGTCCTCGCTAAGTCACTTCGTTGTCTAGGCCATCCTGCCCCAGACTTCCACAATGCTGGGATTACAGGCATGCACTACCATGTCAGGCTTCAAAAAATGATTTTTAAAAAAATGATTATTACTGTAAATCCATTTGGGGGTCAAAGATTTCACCATTTTTTATATCCTTGCTTTCTGCTGTCAATTTCTTAGGGGACAATTATCAATGAAATTCTGTCACCTGTACCAAATTCCTAGACCTTCTCATTGATAGGCCGAAGTAATAAGACATGAAATATTTTGTCTGAAACTAGAAGGAAGTGAGGTATCTCCATATCATGGCAAATCTTTAATAGAAACGTAGATCCAAGTAGCAATGTAAAAACTATTAAAAAAAAAAAAGCTGGGTCTGGTGGTGCACATTCATACATCCCAGCATCCTGGGAGGCTGAGGCAGGAGGATTGCAGATTCAAGCCCAGCTGG